TGTGTGTGTGTGTGTGTGTGTGTGTGTGTGTGTGTGTGTGTGTGTGTTCAGTCAACATGTTTAACTGCAGGTCAGAGGTCAATGTTAGGTGTCTTCTTCAATCCTTCTCCACCTGTGTTTTTGAAGTAGGTATCTCCTTTAACAAGGAGCTTGCTGAACCCATTAGCCGGCCCAGATGGCAAGCCTGGGGGATTTGCCTGTCTCTGCTCTTCGGCACCGGGTTGTAGGCATGCATGACCACACCTCGCTCTTTTCTGTGAGTGTAGAACATGTGAACTCGTGTCCTCCTGCTTGCCTGGCGGGGATTTTACTGACTGAGCCGTCTCCCCAATGCAAGAGCGAATTCTTTCAATTTTCTGTTTTGAAATCTTTCTTTTCTGGCAAAAGATCCAGTAGATAGCAAACATGGATACCGTCTTGAACAGCTATTTAGACATCAATACTTTCTGTAAACTTTGACACCATGCCAAAGCAAAGAGGGCCCACCTGTCACTATGGTGGTAAGCTATTTGATAAAGAGTTAATGCTCCTGCAATGTGTATTGTAGACATGTTAACTGGACAAACTTTGAATTGAGCTATGGAAATATCAGTATCACAGACTAAGGTGTTAATTTAATGAAATTTGTGGTAAAGCAGGTGACTCCTTTCTTCCCATCCATGGTAAAATTTTATCTTGCTTTACCAAAGCAACTAATTGAGGGTTTATTTGCTGTTACAACATGAGTGAGAATAAATCAAGATTCCTGTTATTATGTGCACTCGGTACTGAGAAAGTAGGTATTGTAAAAACTAATTATAAAAACACTATAGTGAGAAAAATAATCTGATAGCCTGGAATTAGCTTCCCAAGAACACATGTGACAAGAGAAAGATGTGAAATTGCCTTCAAAGATTGCCAGGAAAATATATTACAATACTTTTAAGTGATTAGGACAATTTTAGATACTGTTTTGTAAATGAAACCTATACCATTTTATCTCATCGGCTGTTAACATCTAGTTAATAGGAATGTCCTGCTTGACCAAATGTGGAGACCCCACAGCTGGGCTGTGTGCAGAGATGAGAGAGCTCGGAACACTCAGTCCTGAATGGGATATCGACGTCAAATCCCTCCCCTCAGAGCTCAGGGAACTCTGTGGAAGAGGAAGCAGAAAGATTGCAAGAGCCAGAGGGGGTGGAAGACACTAAGGAAAGAAGGCCTTTAAACACACGGAACCGGAACCAATGCACATATGAACTCACAGAGTGAGTGCCGCCATGCTAGGACCTCATAGGTCTCAACCAGCCCTGAGAGGGGAAGTGAACACAATCCCCCACCTCCATCCCTAATCCCTGAAAACTGCTTGCAAAGAAAAAAAAATTAGTTTTCAGGGGGTCTCGCTGGATACACAAACCACCAGGCAGGTCCCATGACAAAACGGTCAACTCAATGGAATTTTTGAAGGCTTTTTTCTTTTGTCTCTTCCTTGTTACTTTGTCTGAACATTTTTTTTTTCTCTTAACCTTACAGGTTTCTAAGCTGCAAGAGAGATGTGGATAGCACACTGTGTGGATTGGCACCTTGGTTTCTCTCAGCCTTTTTCAAACCACAGGGAGAAAAGATACCAGAGGGGCTAGCTAGCTCTGACTTCAGCTTGGGCTTTTAGGGTCAAAGGAACACAGTGCAACAGTACCTTCAGTAGGAGGTCTATTTCCTGTAGTCTATCGTCCAATTCCAGAGCCCTTTGGAGACTGAGCCTTTTCCCATGAGCTCATCAAGGATGGCTGACTCTGGATGGCTGCAGTCATTTCCACAAGTGGGAGAAATGAGGTGACTCCACAAAGAGGTGTGAGGTAGAGCCAGGGTTGCCTTTGATTGCTGGACTTCTACCTTATTGTACAATCTATTGTTAAGTCGCGTTGAGCACCAGTCTCATTCTAAATTGGGGACAGCGCTTCCAGAACCTCAGGGCTGGCCCAAAGAGTACACGAGACAATACAATAAATCAGTTCTGGCACAGGCTCGCCAAATCCGTAAACAAGTCTACTGCCATGCTAACTGAATAACATTTCAGGACACCAACAGCCTTATGATATGATTCTACTCGAAAACCTAACAAAATGTGTCTAGCAGTTGCCACGCTAATTTTAAAATCAAAGCAAGGGAGATCTTTGTCTTCCTATGGGATGCTTTTCGGAACACCACAGTGGGTGTGTCCTGTTTGAGGGAGCACACAGCTGTGAACCATGCAGGCTCCACTCTGCAATATCAGAGTTTAAATCACATCCTTTAACCAAACCTTTCTCCAACCAGCCCAAAACTGCACTGGCTGGGAGATTTCTTCATATATTAAACACTTAGTGCTTTCTTTATGTTTTTTAATGGCAAATAGCTTTGGGCATAGATACCTTCATTTATTTGATGAAAATGTGAACAGCCATTGTCTTTGTGTGAAAAAGCTCTTGAGTCTGGGAGAGAAGTGGGTGAAAAATCCATGGAGAAAGACAGGTGGAGAGATCGAAGGCAAGCCTGTACCTGTAAGGGATTCTGCAGAAGCCTGAGGCATGTCTGCCACAGTTTCCAAGAAAGAATTAATCATTCCTACGCCTAAGCTTATACAGAGGTTTAGGTGCCATTTCTGCTGAGATGAAATTGTTTACTTTTTTATGCCAGCAGAACATCTAAGCCCAACTGCAAATGTCAAGTGCAGTTGTGCAATTTGATATCTATCTCCTTATTTTTGCCTCGATCAATGTTTGTTTTATTTCGTTTCAAATGATACTTCTTTCCTACTTATTTATGATATTTTTAGCAGCCTGGAAGCAAGGGTATTATAGCAAAATAACTCTTGAGTTTTTGTCTTCCTCCTTTGATTGGCTATAGATGACCTCACAGTGTTTATTTTATTCTCTAATTCAGCAGGGAAACAGTATTTCCTATAAATAAAGTTTTATTGGGATTCTACTAGACCTATTCATTTCCTATTGACTATGACTCTTCTTACGTTACAATGACAAAGTTAGGTTGTTGTCACAGTCCAATTGGCCAAAAAGTTTAAGATATTGACTTTCCAGAAACAATTTGCTAACTCATAATGTATAT